TAGATAACAAAGGTATTAAGCTGGAGTTTTATATTGACATTTGATACTTGGTTATGATCTTATAGAGCACAATGTAGATGAGGCTATTTGTGATGGTATTTGTATGCTTTGTATGGCATAATGTTGGTAAATGAAAATGTGAAACTCTGAATGATTTGTTGGTTTAAGAATGTTGTGTTTGATGTAATGTCTGATTGTGATTTGGCCACTTCTTTACTTCTTTGTTGTAGGGGAAATTTGGTAACTGTTGCAGCAAATTGATTGGATAACCTATGATCCATGTCTATATCTTTCTGTAGCCATATTGAGTATATGCTCTAAATAATAGCTTTGAACAGATGAGAGCAAGTTTTTTAGTTATTTCCAGCACTCCACACTATTCTACAAGTTGTTTTAACGTATTTAATTTTTATTTCTATGCACACAAAAGAAATATTTAATTTGTAGTGTTGCATTGTATTGAACAGCGAAGGAACAACCACTCCCATACTGTTTTTTTATGGATGTTCAATTTCCTTATGCTTGTGATAGTGTTAGGAAGCATTTGGAGCTTATATATGATTCGGTGAAACTCAGGAGGATATTAAATTATTATAATCTCAGGTAAGTTAGACATCAAACACATTTTTAGATTCTTATAATAGTTCTGTTTGAAAAAATAAATAACAATGTTTTCCTGTGTATTAGTTGTTATAGATTCTTATAGGCTCTCTTAACCCCTAAACTATGTGGTTGTTTTTCTTATTCGCCTGTTGTAAGCTTTTCCTCTTTGTTGCGCTTTATAGCCCGAATTATGCGTTCTATTTTACATTACCCTCTTAGAGATTTCTTTCCATTTGCTTGCCCATATAACCTTTTGTTTCTTGTAAAAAGGCTCAATATCAGCAGCCAGGCTCTGTACCTGTCATTTAATTTTCTTGATTCCTTCTTTAGGTACCATTAATTGAAGAAATTATCTTGTAATGTGCGGTATAGAAGACCAATATAGTAAATAGAATCAGATTGCTGAACCTCTAATATATGTATCGTTTCAAGCTCTAAATAAGAACTGCTTGCAACTTTTGAAATTAAGTTGAGGTCCATAATTCGAAAGTGTCCTGATTGCATTTTTGTAAAACATACATGTTTCCGGCAGAGGCCCCTTTTTGCACTAAACTGTTTGATCATTTGTCCAGGCTCTCATTTGCTCTGTCAGCAAGAATAATAAAAGAAAAGGCTCGGGTGGTAGCAATGGACTTGAGAGGGCACGGGAAGTCATCCACTGATAATGATCTAGACCTGTCTATTGAGGTATGTACTTTTGAGATTGCCACCAAAATAGAAAACAATGCATCCAAATCCATTGTTCTTTAGTTTAAAGATAAGATAGATATTCTCCATGACACTTTTTATACCAAATGTTCAAGTTTTGACTTTCTGAAATTGCAGACTCTTTGCAATGATTCCCCTCCAGCTATTGTCATTGTTGGCCACAGGTTGTTCCACTCTTTTGTAATTTGAGGTTATGCCTCATCTAACATTTTTTAGTTTTTACAGTGTCTTATCCTTCACATATCTTACTTCTTATGAAATCTAATTTTCTTGAAATTATTGTGTTCTGGCTTCACTCTTCGACTGTAGCTGAAAATTTGAGGCGCAAAATATTGAGCACTATTTTATTAGTCGTGGATTGTTTGAGCTGTGGCAACCTGTATCTTTCTGTGTTATTATATTTCAATGATTACTATTTCTTGCATTATGTTCTCAACAACTAGATGAAATTTCCTGTAATATTTATATGTAATGTAGCATGGGAGGCTCTATTGCTGTTCATATTGCTGCAAAGAAATTGCTTCCCACCTTGTTGGCATTTGTACGAGTTTTGATTAAAAGTGACAATATAGTGGACCATTATTGATGACACCCTATATGATGGACTATTTTCGGAAAATAGCCAACATAATGGACCATTTTTGAAATTTTGCCCATTAATTTCATGCACTTTCGAATAATGTTGAAGAGGATCTCTATGTTTCAGGTATGAGGGGCCTTTCGGACAAATACTTGTCAAGTCCTGTACCAAAGCTCTTGCTCTTGGCGG